CCTTAAAGTTGGAGAAACTGGCTAACCTCCCCCCCCCCACTGAAACCATCGGCATTGTTCAATAACCCTAAACAAAGCTGAAACTTTTTTCGGGTACAGGAGTGCTTCATCCCGAATCTTCCGTGATTTGAGCGAATTCTCCCATGAATTGCCTACTTCAGTCTTACCAGTATAATCCAGGAGAAAGCCTCCCGGGAATTGACACTAGTATGATACGTTGATAATTGGAACACTTGGTTATCCGATCCCGGTTACATATAGGACAATTAATCTACGCTTCCATTCTACAGGAAAACGTTAGTAGGTCCACATTTGATGAAACAGAGCCCGGAGTTTTTCTACTTTACGCGTTTCCAAAAAATAACTATCTCCTGAGGAATTCGATCTACCCAAAACCCCTGTTCTACCCTTGAGATGTAGCCTGGCTTTTGAAGTTATAATTTTGTAAGTGGATCTGTGCTAAACACTAGCGTTGGCAGAGAATAAGCGATCAGAAATGCCCACTCTGGAAGGCAGTCATTGAGCAGCTGTTGGAAACGTTCAGCCCATCTTTTGAGACGTTCTTACTGATCTGTCAATGGGGCAACGTTAGCGTCTTGGATAAGGACAGACAGGCTGCTAACCGGGCAACTGTCGCAGCCCTTTGAACACTGTTCGCCAGTTTCCCCTTGTGGCTGCCTTAGCGACCTTCCTGATTTCCCTTCAAATAAACGTTCCCTGTTCCACCTGTACTCTTATTGATTGCAAGAATGAGGCGGTAATGAGCTGCCTTCGAGAATGTTGTAAGTATTCCTTGTCTGCCTGATTCCCTTGCACTTCAAGGGTTAGGGTCTTCACCGTAATCCCGGGCAGTTTGGCTAATCTCTTCCTACCAGAACTACTTCTTTCGCCGACGACGTTGCCACTTCCTGACTGAGCACACTAAAATAATTCTTGAACCTTTTTGGTAGGCTGACAGCGCAGGTATAATAATATTTTTGCCCGCTATCGTCGAATAGCTTGTGTTTCAACGAGACCATGTCGAAGCGCAACGGCTAAAGTTGCACAAAGTTTCACTACGACCATATGGTGTTCAGACCCAGTGCAGGAGCCAGACCTCACTCGAGTGTCGAGTAACGAGTTGCCGTCATCTGCAGTGAATGAGGGCGCTGTCCAACTGGGTATTTAGGCTTCTATCGGGATCTTCTTGGTTTGGTGTACAATTTTGTGAGGGAATAGAATTTTGCCGTCCAGTAAACAATTTATCGCCTGCCGTTGCCATTCTTGCTGTCAGTACCGCGACGGTCGAGTTCGCCTAGAGATGTGCTGTATTCAGCGTCCACCTTCGTGATGGGGCCTCGTGCGACAACTGTGACGTCGAGCCACGACAAAACGCGACAACAGTCATACATAGTGTCATTCTCGCTGTCACGCGACACATTTGTCAAGACGTAGGGGACAGTGACATACAGCGCCGCATGTTCGATATTCACGCGACAGACCTGGGTTTTCTTCGGCAGCTGTTCCACCGAGATAATCTAGCGGACAAGAAGATACCCTGACCGGCACAACGTAATTTTCCCTTGGCCTGACCACCAAAATGACCATCCATTCTGCTGGCAAAGCTTCCCATTGATCGGGAAGCGAGCTTTCGTGACAGGCTGGCCGTACGGCAGGCACCATCCACCTAACCTTCGCCGGAATGGAACGAACGCTGCAACATGGCCGGAAGTCATCTGTGTAGCGTTGACTGCTAGAACCACGGATTTCCCGGTTTCTAGTTGTCAACTTGCGGAAGCAGGTCGCTGCGCAACTTATTTCTGCAAGTGCAATAAATTCGCCGTCACTCGATAGGAAATTATTCACCAAACCGTTTATCAACCTCAGGCGAAAGAAAGGTGAGCGACGCCAAAAGGGGCTCGAGTTCAGGACCCTGCGTTTCAGAGTCTAGCGCTGCACCGACGGAGCAACCTTGATCTGATGCATCGTGATAGGTTCCTTTCAGGTGAATTCATGGTAAAGACAAAAATTGCCCGCCGCTGGAATCGAAATCGTCCCCCCCCCCTTTGAAGTTCGAGTTCGAAGCGCACCATTTAGGCACTGTGCCACCATTACAACTAAGGCACAGCTGTCGTCTTTGAACTCCAGAGATGACCGGTTGGAATCCGTTGAAGAGACAATCGTCTTTGTCATTCACTTCATCGTGAATTCTCAAAAAGAAACGAGTTTACCCCATGGTCTGTGGCTAAGCCAGCTAAGAAACGGGTAGTAAGTAGGTGACTTGCGAACAGCAGGAGAACGTGGTATTCTGGTCTGGTCTGGTGATGCCAGAATGGACGAAGTGTACGGTCATGCTGTTCGAGGCCAGCGGCACTTGTGGCTGCATTTCGCCTCAGACAGCTGACCCTAGTGCAATAATCAGCTAATCCGCAACGTATAAGTCAGATGTCTTTCTTCTTTCTTTATCAGTAATTAGACCGCGCATAATTATTTAACGAACTGCTCCATCATCACAGCACCAGCTTGAGCCCTTACCTACACACAGCTAATTTCGTCGCATAGCATGGAGCACCGGAATACTGATACCCGGAAGAGCCTTGGTATACAGCCTTTGCTTCTCCAGATTGAGAAGTCACAGGTGCGATGGCTTGGGCATGTGTTGCGAATGCCTC